CCATAAGAATCCTATTTTTCGCCTTATAGAAGACAACTTAGGACTTGGGAGTCACGAGCCCAAAGTACCTGTACCTGGGACTGTCTATCTACATGATGAAAAAGCAAAGAAATCCAAAGACCGAACTCAGCTGCCTCGCCTATGACAGCCCGAACCACTCAAGGTCGAAACCCCAAACCGAAACTCTAATGCCCCAACCCTAAACCGTCAACCGTAACAGCCTAAACCATACAACCCTGCAGCTTGATCCCTCAACCCTAAACCTTAGAAGGGGCCCCCACCCTGTAATAGTGGTATAGTAGGAATATAATAGGGCCCTAATATAATCCTTATAGTCACTATTTACAGGGTGGGGGCAGCTTCTAACCTAAACAACCCAACTTAACCCTACCTATAGGGTCATACCCTACCCCTTTTTTTAAGGTACCTACTTTTTCTATATAAGAGAACCTAACCATCTAACCAGGTACCCTAAAAAAGGGCTGGGGTATGACCCTCTAGGTAAACCACCCAACTTCGGTTGCGATGAATCCAGCCCTCTATAGTATAATACCCTCATGGGTCCCTTATGGTAACCCTTATAGACGAGGGATCAACCCCAAACCACCCAACTTCGGTTGCGTGGCTCGGCGTGACAGGGCTTGCCCGCCCAAAGCTCGGCGACGGAGTCTTTGGAGGCAACCTGCACCCCATGGGGCATACCATAAGGGTCCAAAGGACCCACTTTAAGGGTCCAAAGGACCCTCCTTAAAGGGATATGTAAGGGGTTCCCTAAAGGGATCTATGAGAGTTCTATATATAGTGACGCCTAAGGGTCCGAAGGACGCAATAATTAGGTACTCGGTTTTAGGATAGTAGTAGCTATGTAGGTTAGGATTTTGGAGAGTATATGATCATTAGGTACTTGCACCCCATGGGGCATAGGCTTCAGGGTTTTAGGGCTTCTACACTTCGGGTTTTAAGGACTGTTTCAGGGTTCAGGGTTTGGGGGTTTATATAGATAAATATATATTATGTATAATATTCATAATAGCAATACTAATACAAATACAAGTACTAATACTAATAATAACAATAATACTAATACTAATAATAACAATAGTAATATTAATACATACAAATATAATATACATGTAGAGGGTTTCGGCTATACAGTTTCATGGCTGACGGGGTTTACGGGGTGAAGGATTTGGGTGTCTAAATGAACCCCTTGACTCCGGCCTCATGGCATGGGACAGCCAATTATCGCAGACGTCCCACTCGTGCAGCTCTCCGCAGAGTCCTGAAGCATGGCAACCCTGCTTGCTGAGGCTGAGAAGCTTGTTGCCTCTGCCTTTCAACTTCTCCCCAAGTCGTGGTTCGCGACTCTCGTCGCCGTGATCATTGGCATTGTGGCTCTCCGTCAAAAAACGCCTTGTTTCTCTTGCCGCTTGCTCTGCTTCTCGTCGCCTTCTTGACCCTTTCGGCGACTTGGAGAGATTGCTGACCTGTTTTTTGCCCTTGGGCTTGAGTCTTTGTTCAGTCTTCACATCACCTAAACCCTAAATCCTAACCCTAAACCCTAAAACCTAAACCCTGGGTCTACAGGTTTTTCAGGCTTAAGGTCGTAGGGCTTAGAGCTTCTTCAAACGACTGGGGCTGAAAGTTCCGTGAAAGATGTACCCTGAGGGTCCATGTACTCAAATAGCATGTACATTGGCCTTAAAGTACTCCCTATATAGATACATTGGGCCCAAAGTATATGCTATGTGGGTACATGGACCATCAGGGTAGGGCTGATGCTTCAAGTTCGATGACTTTGCGAGCAGCGGTAATGTAAACTGGACTGCCTTTACGGTTCGTCGTTTAGGGAGGGTACCTGTCGTCTCCATTGTAGATCCTCTCGTTGGATTGGCCACTTACGTATTTACAAGGTAATTCACAGGAGAAACTAGAATGGACACTGTATGTAACATTTATCCCAACGGGTCCAAGTGATGGCAATAGTTTATACTTGGGGGGGCCCAAGTATCTACCAAGCACGCACCAAAAGGGAGTTTCTGAAAATGCGGGACCCTGTTGTAGTACCCTAAATAGTAGGATCCTAATTAGAAGGACCCCCCAAAAATACGGCCTTTGGGCGTAGTAGGTTGAGCTGCACCCCAAAGGCTCCATGTACCTAAATCGTAGATACTTAGGCCTTAAAGGGGTCCCTATATAGGTACTTTAAGCACATGCAGCCTTAGGGCACTTGCCTTCACGACTCTCCGACTCCTGGGACTTGCTTGGGGTTGAGGATACACGGTGAGCTAGCAAGCCCAAAATTCTTGTAAGGTCCCATGGGCTCCTAATCTCTTAGTTGCTGAGTTCATAAGCCCCCCCCAAAAGTGTAGACTTTCAGTTTTCTAGCGGGTAGTACTATCCCAAAAAGTGTAAAGTGCATTCACTCAGCTACTAGGTAATGCGAGCCCCCAAAACAGGTCGGTTATGGTAGTTTAGGGTACGTGGTCAAAGCCGGAAATGCATGAGGGTCTGGCGGCTTTCTGTCGGTGGAACTCTTCTCTATCTTCTAGCTCGACAGCCGGCGATCGAAACCCAAACCCTCCTTTGAAACCCCCCAAATAAACCTCCAAATCGTGCCAAGACCCCGAAAGCTCACCAAACCCTAGACTAAAACCCTGAAAACCTGAATCCCAAACCCTAAACTCCTAAGCCTCCACACCCCAAGCTCTAATACAGCTTGCAGCGGTTGCTGGGATGGAGGAGCCCGGTTCCTGCAAACCTTTGGCCCCTGGGGCACCAAGCTCTACACCTAGACCTTCCAATAACCCTTAACTAAGGAAAACCTTAACCCTGAATAACCTACCGTTTTAGGGTTCCTTATTATGATGTTCTTATACAGGTCCATGAAAAGGGTAGGGTATTCCGGGTTAAGGAATATACCGTACATCAAAGCTTGGGATCCTGCTATACTTCCAGGGTATATATTCCTTAATTTAGGATCATTAGAAGGGCCTGGGCAACTCATGAAGCCCCCACAACCGAGAGAGGCAAACACTGCAAGCATGCGGCTGCTTGATGGTCTTACCCTAGGGATCTAAGGACTCATATATTAAGGTTTTTGGGCCCAAAGAGCATACTGTACTATCTAAGGCTTTTGGGCCGTTTTGATCCCTAGAGTTATGGGGTTGTGTAGGGGCGTCTAGGGCCCTAGGATGCATGTTTTGCTTCGAAATCCTTCCCGAAGCGGCCAAAGCAACTAGCAATTAGGTACTTGGGCCTTAGGATTGTGGCTATGTCGTGTTAGTATTCGGAAGAGCATGTAAATAGCTATCGCTTTTAGGGTCCGTTTTAGGGCGCTTTTTACAAGGGTGCCGTACTAGATTGGAACCTAGAAAGGGACCCTAGTTTAGAGAACTACCATTGTAGTACCCTGATAGAAACCTTCATAAATCCCTTTAAGGAACCCTGAAAAGGTAACCCAACCAAACATATCCACAAAGCACTGTTTGAGAAGCCCCTAGTTAACCTGTTCGAATATAGTAGGCCTAGTTAGACCCCAAATGGTTGAAGGTTACCTACCCAGCTACTAAGCAGTATCCGGGAGCGTATATCCTTACCCTAAACCTGGGCTTTTAAGTAACCAGGGAGAACAAATCTAAACTTGTATTTCATAATGGTTCCTTTAAGAAAAATTATTCAAGTATGGTATACTCCGAAGCTCAGAACTCCCTAAACCCGATCCTCAACCCTAAACCCTCTCAAAGGGCTCCTTAACGAGTCCTTAGCTGCCCAGAGACTCCAATACCCCTTAATTAAGGAATATTCCTTAAATCATATTAGGGGTCCTACTATAATTTAAGGTATATTCCTTAATTAAGGGATATTGGAGTCCTTACCCTAAGGCTCCATGTACCCATATAGTAGATACATAGGCCTTAAAGTACCTATATAGGGCCCGCTTTAAGGCCTAGGTATCTATTATGAAGGTACGTGGAGCCTTTGGGTTAGCTGCCTGTGTGCCTCGCTGCCATCCAGTCGCAGTGCCCGCAGCAGTGGGAAGGAGCAAGCGCCTGCAACCTGGCCGCGGTTTTAGGGTTTTAGGGCTTTAGGGGATTAGGGTTTAAAGGGGTTTAGGGTTTAGGGTTTAAAGGGTTTAGGGTTTAGGGTTTAAAGGGTCTTAGGGTTTAGGGTTTAGGGTTTAGGGTTTTAGGGTTTTAGGGTTTAGGGCTTTAGGGGTTAGGGTTTAGGGCTTAGGGTTTAGGGCTTATGGATACCATAGGGGCCTTAATCATTTGAATGGGGTTGTGGGGCCCATTATAATACTATGATTATAATGAGGAACCCAAGGGTTTAGGGTTTACCCATAGGCCCCATAGTAGTTCCTTTTTTGGGGGTTCATATTTAGAATCCGGTAAGGTAATCCCCACAAGCAACTCTGGGGCCTGTGGAAAGGGACATATGTTGTTGTAAGCTCGTTCTGGGCTCTACTATCTCCATCGCGCATGTTACGGCGATTGTAGGGAGCATGTCGGCTGCAGGCGTTTCAGGGTATGCGCAGGGTGCCCGATGCCAGATGCATTTCAACACCCTAAACCCTGAACTTCCTAAAAAGTCGCCCAAATTCTCAAGCAAGACACCCCAATGATCTTGCATGAACTGTTCGCCAAGCATCACTTGATTCCTTTTTCAGACAGCTCCTGTCTCAATAGCGGCACGACCAACGTCTGCATCTTATGCACAGGCTTAGGCGGATCTTTGGCCCTCGACAGCTTCGGCGGTTCTACTTCGAGGCCCAGCGGACTTGGTAGGTAGGTTCTAAGTAGGACTAGACGTACACTAAATTGAGTTACCCTAACTATAACCATATTTATAACATATAACCTACTTACCAAGTCCCCTGGGTCTCCAAGTACCCGAACGGATATGCATACAGTCTCCAAGTACCCGAACGGATACAGATACAGGATCCGCAAGGTTCCTTCACGTTCTCATGGCAATGCACTTCGGCTTGAAAGGCTTCAGCTACTATGAAGGTAAGGGAAGACCTGGTAGTCTAAGGGTCTCAGCAGCTTGCCATCTTCATCTTGGAAATAGTGACGAAAGCAGAGCTGGCAAACGTAGGTTGGATTCCGTGGACAGCGGACGGCGTTGTGCACCGCCCAGAAAGCCAGTGTTTGGATGCATGCTTGACAAAGCTTGCGAGGGAAGTCCCTCATGAAGGTGAGCCTCGTTGGCTTTATAGGGTTTAGGGTGTACCTGAACCTACCAAAACCTACTTTTGTGTATGGTCCCTATAAATTCCGTATTAGGGTTTAGAATAAGAACCTACAAAAAGTAGGTCGTTTAAGAAACCAAGGAGGTAAGGCTGGCTCTTATGAGACAGCTGCCTCAAACCACCAACGAGAAAACAAAAACTGAACTCCAGGCTCCAGGAGCAGAGGGTAGGCATCTTTCAGAGGGCAGTCGCTGCTCGAGGCAGGCAGGCGGACGCCTGTGAAGTAGATTGCATGCTCCTCATTCCCCTGATGTATGTAGGCGCACCTCTCCTGAGATTCGTAATATAGGCGCCGAAATAAGTAGAACAGGGTTTTGGGGCCCATTATAGTACAAATAGAATAAGGACCCCGCCAAAAAAAAAACAGTACTGCGAATTCTTTAGGCCCCTATACTACATCCTTGTAATACCCCTTGTAGTAACCCCCATAGAACCCCTTTAGAGGAATCCTTAAAGGAACCCTATATTCTAATGGTTTAGGCCCCGACATTACGAAGTTTGAGGCTCCAAGTCAAGAGCGCAGGCACCTTAGTGCTTTAGGGGTTTAGGGTTTAGCGGTTTAGAGTTAAGGGGTTAAGGGTTAGAATTCAGCCGTCAGAACCAGGAGAGCACGGTAGATTCTCTCTCTCTCCCTCTCCCTCTCCCTCTCTCTCTCTCTCTCTATCTCTCTCTCTCTCTCTCTGTGTCTCTTTCTCTGAAGACTATGTGTATGTATATATAGATGGGAAGTAAAAACTTAGATATAGACTCAGATATAGATATTGATACAGACCTAGATGCAAATGAAGACTAGCTTTAGGTATAAATCTCTCTCTCTCTCTATGTATATATATATATATGTATATGTTTTAACTACATATAGAAGTTATGTGTATATATACACAATTATCTATTTGCTATACACACATGGTAACTGAAGGGGCTTGACGAACCTTCTTTAGCAAGGGCAAGTGTCCCCGAATGGAATCCGCTCCAGATCGCACAGCCTGGTAACCATGGGGCGAGAGGACGTCTCCCTCAAGCTTTGACAGCCCGTCTGCTGGGCATGGGGAATCAGTTCCTTGGAATAGTCCAAGGAGGAAGCCCACCTCCTGTCACTGTAGAAAATGCCATCGATAAAGAAACATGCAGAATCCAGGCGTGTTGGGCCATCATACTTCCAATCCTCTGGAAAGTAAAAGGCATCTCGCAGCTCTTCCAAGGTCTGGGTGGACAGGATGTCGTACTCCTGCTCCTTGTTCCCATCCTTACCATGGACGGAGACGGTCAAGATCACTTCGGACCCCAAGCAGTCCATGTGGTCAGGGATGTCGGGAGGGGGCTCGCACTCTTGCTCCACTTCTTTCTCAATCAACTCCTCGGAACCCGCTGTCTTCAGCAACCGATGCAGTATACGCTTGTGGGGGCTTCCATGCACTCCGTTCGGGTGCACACGGCAAGCATGCGTCGACGACAGGCGCCAGGCCTTCGTCGGCGCTGGGTCTACCAGTATGTCAGCCGTCTCTGCTTTGCACTTCCCCCAACGTGCCAGGACCACATCAGCATAGCTTGGCAAACCCAAAGTGCTCCGCATCTCCTATACTGAACTTAGAACCCTAGCAAAAATTGTAATTTTAGCTGTTTCTTTATTATAATAGCCAAAAATTAAGAATTATTTCTAAGTACCCCTAAGTCTCGACGCATGCCGCATCTTCCCCGCGAACAGCGAATCGTCTCCAGGGTTCCCGGTGCTTTGCCTAGGATACCCAGTAACCTAAGAATAAAAAGGCCTCTCTTTTTGGTATTGGGTAACTTTATAAGGAACCTAGGACTACAAAAAGGAAGGGTACTACTGGGCATCCTAGTTGCCTTTCTGATAGTTCTCCTCTTTCTCCTTGCTGCCTTTCTCTTCGGCCACAAGCGAGCCTCCGGTATTTTTTACACAGACCCAAAGGGTCCAAAGTATTGTTATGGGGGATACGTCCCCAAATCATAATAGTAATTCCTAATATAGGAACCCTACATTCTACTATAAAGGTACTTCGGACCCTTTGGGAGAACCTACCAGACCACAGCTGAAGATGGTAGGAACACTCCTTCTCTATGTCAAACACCTAGAGGGTCATACCCTACCCCTTTTTTAGGGTACCTGGTTTTATGGTTAGGTTCTCTCATATAGAAAAGTAGGTACCTTAAAAAAGGGGTAGGGTATGACCCTATAGGCAATCCTCTCTGACTACAAAACCCTAAGGGTCCTTGTACCCGAATATTATAGTCCATAATACTTTGGCCCCAAAGTGCCTACATAGGGATTATTCTAAGTTCAACAGTGTAAACTATGTGGTCACATGGACGATTCGGGATATCTATCAGACAAAACACCTACAAATCCTGGAGCTGCCGCATCAATCCCCTACCGACAGCCTGCATTGTGGCTCCGCTTGTTGGTTTAACCAATAACAGTATTCTTAGGATCCTATAAATATTCAACAACAGGAACTACAATGGAGACTATACGTAAGATACGTTGATCCAAAACCCTTTCCTGCGGCTCCACTTGCCGACGATTCCGAGGGGTCCTCCTTTGAACAAAGGTCTTATAACCACTCTGTTGTGGGAGTTTCCGAAAATTCGGGGTAATTACCCTATTTGGGTGTCCTTGTAATCAGGACATAAATAATAAGATCCCCCATTTTCGGAAACTCCCATGTGGGTTCGGCGCTACAGTTACAGGTAACCCCGAAGATCCTAAATTATCTTAGACGCCTACACCGCTAACCCATCAAATCTCACGAAAGAAAAAGGTTCGATAAGGATGACTATAAGGGTTACTATTATGAGGGTTTTCAATATTATTCTTGAAAACCCTTATCATAGTAACCCTTATTAGTCATCCTTATAGAACCCTTTGTCTTATAGGAACCTCAAGAGTTGAAAAGGGCTCACGAGGCCTGCGTCTTCGGCCATAGCCAAAATGGTCTCCTTCTGGACTTCACGGGTTCCGCCTCAGGTTCTGGTCGCCGCTCCTCTGATTCTGACCGCCCTTCCTCTGGTCCTGGCCGCTGTTCCTCCGGGCCATGTATGTAGGGGCCCTGATGGTCAGAACTGGGTTTAGGATTTAACGGTTTCGCTTTTGGGGTTTGCGGGACAGCGGGGGTACTATAGTATACTTTCGGATAGAATCGTCTATGTGCTGCAGTGGGTCGGAGACTCATCCCACCAAGCACCCCCAACAATACCTAATAGTCATAAGGCCTTCAAATATGTCCTTCTGCCGAGCAAAAAAAACAGATGCACTGGGTCCTTTGGACCTTCAAACATAGCACTTAGTATAAAGCGCCTACGGTTCAGGATTTTGGGTTTAGACTTTTATTTGATAACTGGTTCCCTTTAAGTAAGAGGTCCCCAAAAAGTATTAAAGTATGCTACTCCAAAACCCTAAACCCCTAAACCCTAAACCAGCAAAGTGTCTGGTATTGCTTCGTCTCCTTCCTCCGCCCTGTCGGTGGAGTCCCCAGGCTGCTTCCGGTTCCTGGGGTTGAATTCCCCCTTCCTTGTACATCTGGAGCGCTCTCCTGGGATCTTGTTAAGGGAGTTAACTTAAGTTACCATAATAATAAGGAAACCATATTATTTACTATAGATACCTATTCATTATATAATTACGGTGACTAACAACAGCCCAAAATAAGGAAACCATATTATTTACTACAGATCCCTATGAACTATGGTGACTAAAAACAACCCAGTCTCCATCGAGCTCCCAATCCTCGTCCGTGAAGCCCTCTTTGTACAGCTGGCTTCTTATGACGTCACTGATCATCCGGGACACGGTCGGCAGCCATGTTCCGTCGCTTTCGATGTCCAAATCCTTCCAGATATCGGTCAAGGAAGCAGGAATTTTGGCAAGGACGGCCATGCGCTCCTCACAGCGCGTTTGCCAGGATTCCAGGTTCTCAACCCCTGGCATGGACTGTAAAGGATAGGACCTGGCACGTTTGAACTCCTTCTCGGGGACCAGACGGCCTGTCGAATGTGGATCATTCAGCACCTGGGTTGTAGTACACCCCCCAGCCCCCAACGAACAACTGCATTGATAGGTGCAACTGCAGCAACATAAACATAACCCCAAACCCTCGTGAAAACCCTGAAGCCCTAAAGCCAAAAGCCGCCGTAAAACTTTATAACTCTGAAACCCTATAACCCCAACCCAGGCGCTTTAAACTTGCTGCGGCGAAGTGTGACGCTGGGCCGAGGCTTCCATCGACCCCCGTCGACGGTGACCGCTGCGTCCTCTTGGTCACTGCCCTCCATCTCGGTCTCCTCTGCCTGGTTCAGGGTTGTAACAGGCCTCAAAGCCCAAAGGCCTGAGAGTCGAGTGTAAACCGTAAACTCTAACCCCAATCCCTAAAACCCTAAACGCCATCCATCTCGGCCTCCGCTTGGTGGCTCAGAACGCCATGAAGGTATGATGGAATAGCCATGCTTCTTTTCACGATTTGCCGCTTTAGGCCGCTGATTGTGCTAGTCTATAGGGTTTAGGGTTTAGCGCGCTATACAAACCCCTACACCCTCAAATCCAAACACATGAGGTTCAAGTCCTGTCCTGTCTAGGATGTATCAGGGATCAATCTATGCCGAAGCAAAAGCCCAGAGTGGTTGAGAGAAGTTGGCCGCAAACGCCACGACTAGCTTACCCAAAGGGCCCAAGCAATAGCATAGCATATGCTTTCCGGGCCAAAATATCTACTCTGTACCTACTATATTGGCATTTGGGCTCCTGACAGAGAAAATTATGACAAGGAGCCGTCAGGTAAAATGTTGATACTTTAGTAACCCGTATATTAGATTCTAGGGTCTCACCCTCAGCCCTAAGGCCTGCGCTCAGAATCGATGTAGGAAGCCAGACCCTAAACCCCAAACCTTCACCACTCTAACTCTGCATCGCTTGGGGACAGGGTACCGGTTTTGGGGGTTAGGGGTTAGGGCTCAGGGTTTAGGGTTAGGGGGTTGGGGCTTAAGGCTTAGGGCTCAGGGTTTAGTGGTATAAAGCATGAAGTGTGCAACTCGCAACGGAACTTGAGACGAGGATGTAGCTAGAGCCAGCAGGCACGGGCAGAGCTGAACGCGTACTCCCTACTTGGAACCCTAAACCCTAAAACCAATAATCGTCCTACTTGTAACAGACTTACTATGCCCCCTGCGCCTCAAAGTATACCGATCCAATCAGGGGCCCGAAACTGGTTTAAGGGTTAAGGGTTCTGGGGTTTTTGGGTTTAGAGTTTTAGGGCTTAAGGTTGTAGGGTTTAGGGTTTTACGGTTCAGGGTTTAAACCCCATGATCTAGGGGCCATGGTAACTATAATGTGGTTAGCTGATATCTGTATCTATGGTGAGGGACCCTGGGCAAGACTGTTCGCGATTATCCGAGCTCGTATATCATGGTGTGGTGCTGGTGTCAAAAAACCCTGATACTCGAACATTTTAGAGACAACAGCGGGAGAGAGAGCGAGAGAAATGAAGAGAGAGAGACGCAAAGAAAGAGAGACAGAGAGAACAAGGACCATCGGGTACAGCTGCAAATCAGCCTTTGGTTGTAGGGGAGTCTAGAGGGCAGGAAATTCAGGGTTTAGGGTTTATGGAAATCAGGGAAAGACAGACCCCAAAGTGTGGGTTTAGAGTTCAGGGTTTGGGATCCGTCCATCCATCCATCCATCCAAACATACATGCAAACATGCGAGCATGCACACAAGACAATCTGCCTGCCTACCTACCTACCGACCGACCTGCCATACCTATAGACGACATACATACATACATAGATACATACATCGTACGCCCATACATATAACAAGCATGTGTGTAGGTACACAGGTACGGTGTGTGCATATATGTAGCGACATAAAGCAGCATGGGCACAACAAACTGAGATCGGTATCTGCAGGAATACAAGTACAGCGCCACCAAACTCCAGATGCCCACACACGGACATGAGCAGTATGGATTTAGGTCCCATAAACCTGACCTGTCTGGCTTCCGTATTCTAACCCAACGTGGTGGTCCGGGTGCAGCTTCTGGGTAGAGAAGTAAGCATTAGAGCTAGAAATGCAGGTGTATGATTGCTTGCCCAATGACGCCTCCTTCGTGCATGTGCAATCTGGGTACTCTGAAAACCAACCCTCATCCCGCATCTCCTAAACTTGGAACTGACAGAGGCTTGGGCTGTACAAGGGTCAGCTGCCTAGGAACTCGGGTGTCTCTGCTGGGCCGTATCGGGGCGTGGACGGATGCTGTTCCTGTTCAGATGCAGGAGCCATAACGACCTTTGCAGCTTTTTGTATGGTTAACCAACTTTATGGTTGGGATCCTATAACAGCCTTTGGGCTTCATCATAAGGACCCTTAGAACTTAAAAAAATGGCAAAGAGGCAGGGCCATAGGGGCCGTAGTTCCCCGAAGAAGGATCTTGAAGAACCAGAAGGAACATCTAACATACCGAAGGGTCGCACTGCTTCGATGGTGTCGGGCTTACCCATAAGCCCCAAAGTAGTTCCTCTTTTAGGAATACCTTATAGGATTCTAAGTGTGAACCCCAAAAAGGAACTACTATGGGAACACCCCCCCCCCCCATAATCCCCAGCAAAGCTTTAAGGAACCACCCAAGCTACAACGTCTGCAAACCCTGTGAAACCAACGGAGCCCCCTTGTGAAGCATTTTACCAAACAAATTCTTTAAGACAACCTACAAGACCCTCACCTGAACCGTAAACCCAAAACCTAACTGCAAAACCCTGAACTCTCAACTCTGTATAAGCCCGAAACACCTAAACCCCTTTTTTAGAACCCTTATGAGTCCCTTTAAGGAGCCCTTATAGATCACTTTAAAGGAACCCTGAAGCCCAACCCCAAAAGGAAACACGAACTCTGCGCAGGGCGCGCCGCTCTCTCCAATGCCGATGTTGTCTCGTGAAGAGCTGCCGTCTCCATAGCATGGCCGGCGATCCCAAAGGTAGGGGTTTAGGGTGTAGACTTCAGGGAAATAATATGGTACATATTTTGGGGGCCCAAATACTTATAGACTAACTTGGAACTTGGACCATCCGGGGATGGACCCAATTGACATGCGGCGGGGCAGGCCTTTTGAGGTGTCCTTTGAGTGTTTGTAGAGGGAAGTTACTCGGGTCTGATGGGCTTGATAAAGGGTGCGGTGTAGACTTCTGTAGTATATACTGTAATTAGGAGCCCTAATAATTTGAATAGGGTTTTGGGTTGTATAGGTTTGTGCGTTCAGGGCTCAGGGGTGCAAGTCGAAAGTGCTTCGGGAGGGTTCGGAGCTCGGAAGCATGGATTGAAGGTGTTTTTCGGTACGCTGAACCCTAAACCCTAAACCCCCCCCTATATAAACCTCTAAGTCCTAACCCTGCCCAAACCCTAAACTAAACCCCCGAATCCCGACACCCTGAGGAGACACTAAACTGTCAGATCTGCCTTGCAAGATCTAACCCAGAGGGTCCAAGTATCCAAATAGTAGGGTTCCAGATCCCAAAATCCATACCCTGAGTGGTTTTTGGACCTTGAAGCCCTACTATTTGGGTACTTGGACCCTTAGGGTAAGTAAGCGCTCGCCATAAACTTATGAAAGGAAAGGGCCTGGCTGCTTGGTATAGGCTGCTTAGGGCGTAAGGTTTAGGGTTTAGGGCTTCGGAATATGATGCCTAAACCCTAAACCCTAACCTAAACCCTAAACCCTACTGAACCCGAAACCCTTAACCCTAAGTCGCGTAGGGCCTGCAAGGGAAATTCGCCCTTAGGGACGGGGGTTCAGGGTTTAGCGTGAATTTAGGGTTTAGGGTGAACCCCACACGCGAAGGAGCCATAAACCCCAAACCCTAGACTAACGTGAACACTTTTCATCATAGAGTTGACATGAGCTGTCTTAACCAGCTTAGTTTCCACCCTCCGGGAAGCTACCGAAGGATTATGTAGTTTAATGCAAGGCCTAAGGCTTAAGGTTTCGAGCTAGATTATGGATTGATTGCAGCTGGGGGTTGAGGAGTAAGAAATTGGTGGAAGGTCCAGCCATGGGTTTATGTAGTAAGGCTTCTGATGAGGCGGACAAGGGTTCCTGTGGGGGTTGCTCGTTACAGTTTAGGCTTAAAGGTCTTGGGGTGTTGGTGGCTTTGGGGTTGACAGGCCCTTGTGCTCTAAACCCATCGGCCCCATAGTAGTTCGTTTTCGGGACTACCTTACAGGATTCTACATATGAACCCTCAAAAGGAACTACTTCGGGGCCTATTGGTATACCCTAAACTCTAAACGGCAGCCAAGACCTGCTTTTTGCTGCAGACGACAGGCCTTTGCCCGTTGTCGCATGTGCGCTACAATCACCGGAATGAGCCTCAACTCGCTTGAGAGATCTTAGGGTTCACGGGGGTATCATGGGATATCATTTCGGCTCGAATGAAACACAATTACAAGGGGCTGCTTAGTTAAATCCCGAGATCAGGAGAACTTCAGAGAACGCTTCCTTGTGTTCCACAACCGCATCCCACCGTTAAAGCACCCTTGCATACCTCACGATACTACCGCTCTAGCTCTTAATCCCAGTCCCACTTAGAAGCCCAGCGGAGATAGTGAGTAAATAGGTTCCAGGTAGAGCTATACGTTTTAAGTACCCGAAATAGAGTTAGCCAGATAATAACTTTACTAGCCCTGCCCCCAAGGGTCCAAAGGACCCTATAATTGGGTACTCGGTTTTAGGATAATAGTTATGTAGGTTAGGATGTTGGCGAGTATATGATTATTGGGTACTTGGACCCTTGGGGTACTTGTAACCGACTTACTCAGTCACCTGACCCTCCAAGCACTCCCTTCGGGGGTCACCGCATTATAGAACTCAAGCTGTCCAGGCCCTTCAATAAGAACCGCAAGGAAAGTCTCGAGAGTTACCTAGACGCCCCCAACTACCCTCAAATACACCCCAACTACTCACGATTACAGGCTATAAACGGCTCCATTGAAGGGCGCTTGGGGGTCCTTGGTAAGGAGTCATAAGGGTTTAAGGTTCAGGGTTTAGGGTTCAGAGTCCTAGCTAAGTCCCGAACAGACAACGACAGGTCCTAAACCCCAAATCCCCAAAATTGGAGCTCCCCGAGTAAACGCTTGACACTAAAACGTGGAAGCTCCCCTAACCCTACCCACAGGCTCCATGTACCTAAATAGTAGATACTTAGGCCTTAAAGGGGTCCCTATATAGGTACTCTGGGGCCTAAGTATATACTATTTGGGCACATGGACCCTTAGGGTTAAATTTTGT